TAGAGCAAGAGATTGATATATACTATTACTTATATCTGTTGCGAAGAGGGTCAGAAGTCCATTCTTTTTCTTCCTTTTTCTTTCTTTGTTTTTTTTTTGCCCTTTTGACCTTGGTCATTCTTTTTTTCTAATTTTCCTTTCTTTTTCCTATTTTCTTCCTTTAATATTAGTTTTTGTTAATTTTTACTGTTTCTATTTTAAAATTTAATAAAGTTATTTAAGGAAAATCAATTTGACACATATTTCACTTCTTGGGAGTGCTACTTATGTTTAAAGCTACAGACCTGGCACCTATTCTGCTCAAAAAGTTTATAGTCAAAATTAGATAGAAAGTATTACAAGAGAATATATGTGGTAGAGAATCAACAGGTAGCAAGGAACAGTTTACACTTCAATGGAATTAGATATTTGGTATCTGTTTTGGATGGGTCAGGATCAATAATTTGGGAAATATTTTTTGTATGAGGATATGACGACCCTGAACTGGTATTCAGCTATTCTGGCGGCTGAGGGGGGGGGCATTATACATTCCACTGAGGCAGTTGGTAGTTTGGGAGTACTTCTGTCCAGTATGGCAGCCATTTTGTGAGAGTACCAATAATCTGTTTTTAAAATTCCAAGTGCACCCAATAGTAAAAAAAAAGTTGACAACTCCTGAGATAACTATTTCAAATTCTTGGGGAAACAGTAATTTGTTTAGGACTGAAAATGACATCACAGAAGCATAACTGGAAACAGTCTATATAACAGTCTATATTATTTTTATTTATAGATTTTGCTGTATTTGAGGTGATGACAGCACATCAACAATCAGTTAAACCTGACTAGGGAAGACAGTGGAAAACAAGGAAGAAGTAAATGCACCCTAAAAAGTGATACCTATAGTAAATGAAACACATCTATATTTATGTATAACTAATATATCTTTCTCGTTTTTTCCTCAGTAGGAGGGGGAATCAAGTATCATTCTGTATTAGTGTTTATTGTGCAGAAGCAGCATTTCCTCAGAAGTCAAACAGAAGATTTCTTATAGTACTTTAAAAATGTGGTATTTGCACAGCATACCCACCCTGCTGCTAGTACAACGATAGAATTCTATGCTGTGATATGAACGTTAGGAGGAATCTCTTAGCTGTTGCTTGTAACATTATCAAAATGTTCTCCGCTCCTATGTCTAGGCCATGTTGGCTTCGTTGTTAAAAACATTTTTTAATTTAATTTTTGGCTTCAGGTATCTGACTATAGTGGAGTCTGTGCCACTTTGAAAATAGCTCTGGACCTCTGTGATCCCATGGCATCAGCCATATTCATGAAATTAGTGTACTGTACTTATTTCTTACTCAGCTGAGGTATACAGGTAGTCCTCAGTTAACAACCACTCATTCAGTGACTATTTGAACTTACTATGGTGCTGATGAGTGGTACTTACAACTGGTTCTCAAAGTTCCAGCTGTCCTGGCATCCCCAGATCATGTGATCATAAACCAGGCACTTGGCAACTGGCTTGCACTAAGCAATGGTTGCAGCATCCTATGGCCACATATTCACCATTTGTGGCCTTCCCTGCCAGCTTCCCACGAGCAAAGTCAATGGGGAAGCCAGCAGGGAAGGTCGCAAATTGCCCCTCTAAGTCGCTCCCACTTTCCTGTGCACCCTCCTGCACTCCAGAGCACTCACCCTGTGCCCAGCCATGCTTGTGCCAGGCTGCAGCATGCACTAGTGCACCCTCCCTCCCTCCAGAACACCCACCCCATGCCCAGCCGTAGCAGCCACTTACCTACCCACCAGCCTGTTTGTGACCTACCCAGGACTTGCGACTTCTTGCCAGCTTCCCCATTGACTTTGCTTGTGATTAGCTGGCAGGAAGTTGCAAGGAGGGCCTCGCTTAACAACAGCAACAGGGACTGCAGGGATTGCCGTCACTAAGTGATACGATCAAGTAACGATCACGCTTTGCAATTGCATTGCTTAGCGATGTAAACTGTGGTCCCAATTACCATTGTAAAGTGAGGACTATCTGTATTTGAAGCCAAAATAAATCTAATCTTTTAATGCTAGAGCAATCTGGAGCTTGTGAGCACTTCTCTCCCCCCACCCCCCATTTAGAAGAATTCCTGCTTCATCACTAGGTTTCAAGTATTAAAAGAAGGTATTTAGACAATTTTTTTGATCCCCCACATAGGCACTCCTGGGATATTTTGCCAAATAATCAAACACACACAGCGTGAAATAAAGATATGGACTAGGGTGTGTGCAAGTGATATATTTTATTTTCCTTTGGTGTAGAGTGGAGCAAGAGCAGGGCAATTACTTCTTGTTCTGAATTTCAAGATGAGTGTGAATCCTCTTCAAACCACATTTGAGGCACTGAGAAATAGAAAGAGCAGTAGTATGGAAGTGCCCTGGTGGTACTAAAGCAGAAGAACTTCTGTAAACTTGTAACGTTGGCAATATTCATCCTGTATCCCAGCTTTTTTGGACAAGTGAGTAAATCTGACATTTGGGGGGAAGGTTGTGAGTACTGAAAGAAAATGGTAACCAAAGAGGTCTTGTCCATTCACAAAATGGCAAAAATGCCTTCCACAATAAAAGTGCTAACTTTTACTGTAACCGGACCTTGGCTGCAAACACCCAGGGGACCAATCAATGGCATAAAACAGGGTTCCTCAACCTTGGCAACTTGAAGATGTGTGGATTTCAACTCCCAGAATTCCCCAGCCAACATACAGAAACCTTTAATTCTTTCTTGCCAACTAGTGGTTGTCCAGATCTTTGCAGCCTTGATCTGGTAGCCCTAGGATGTGTCCACTCAAAGCCACAAAATTATCAGAAAGAAAATTGGAGTTGCTGTTTGCCTTCTTCTCCAATACTTCAACAATGCTCCCTATTATGGCAACTTACCTTCATTTTTTTTTTCTTTTTCTGGGCAGATGGACACATTTATGGAACAAAAACCAAAAACTACTGGGCAATAACCACTTACCATGTTTATTGTCTTTGAAAGTATACCAGCCTATATGGAATCAAAGGCATACTTGGAAAATAAGGTAACTTCAAAGCATGACGACAGTTCCTTTTGCCTCATATTGGGCCACTTTTCTATGCTTCATCAGATTCTTTGCAGCACATTTCTGAATTAGGCCAATGTCACTTTAACAAACAATAATGGAGTGCCACCTATACTCATATGACAATATGTTGCATTTATCACATGCCTTTCTTCTTTTGGGGCCCATAAGTGAATGGTCTCTAATGAAGTTCGTCTCTGTTAAAATGCAAATCTCTTTCCCTAGGGTTAAATTTTCAGTGAAGGTTTTCTTTTCTTCTTTGGCCTATTAAGGAAATATGGGGAAGGAAGCCAACCTTTTATCCACAATTTCAATTCTGGAATAGCGGCGAGTAGGATGATCCTGTTTCCTTCCACCTGAATGTGAAAACAGAGATGGGAACCCAGAGGTCCTGTCAAAAAAGCCTGTTAGCAGCCCAGCCATCATGACCTGTTGGGAATGCTATCAACTTTGGGGTGTCTCTCAGGTGCCTCAACCTGTAAGGACTAGCATTCAGAGTTTTGTCCCATATGCTTAAATGTAGTCTAGATTCATATTTTGCACATAATCATGTTTGTTTCTTTTTAGTTCAGTTTCTGAATTAAGTTATCATAGCTTATGATTTAGTGCATTGTGTGAATCCAGCCCATTGTGCCTTATCCAATAAACCATGGTTAACTGTGCTTCACACAATGTGTGAATCCAATCACTGATGCATGTCCTGTAGTGAGACAACATTTGGCTAAAATTTCCAGGCAAAAAGCTTGCAGGATGAAAACTGAAAAGCATATTTGAAGCTTGTCCACTGTTGTTGTAATTGATATTCTACTCACCTCAAACAGTAATGCTTTCTTCTGGATAGAAAAACACTTCTTTAAGGCAAAAGTGTGAGGTATCAATTACCAGGTATATTTTGCTGTGTATAACTGAGAAAGATGCAGCTAACATATCACTTTTACAGAGAAATAAGAACATTAGATTATAAAAGTTGGTACAACATAGGAAACAGAAATTAAAAAAAAGAATGCAAATTCCAGACTAAAGGGTTTATTTATTTCTACAAAAATAACCATTTTCTGAAGCAAAAACTCATCTGTTTCTTTTCCTGGACCTTTCCAGTATTTTGGAGATTCCTAACTAATCAGTGGCTATGGGTAATCATGGTAGTTCCACTGTACCCAGCCTCAGTCTGTCTCCAGCAGAGAAGGGCTAAGGTAGTATGGCTCTGTATGTGATCAAGAGTCATGCCTCATTCAAGATGTGCATTCTCAATTTGGTAGGAGGGGCTGTTCTTCCTCATGGGGATGTGGATTTATTGTCCAGCATGAGGGGATTTGAAATAAAGTGTTTATATTTTTTTTAAAAATGCACATGCAGTTTAAGTGATTATTCATTCAAAAATGTGGGGAAAAAAGGAAAATTATAATTAGTCTAATGGCTGGTGTGGGTCTTCCGGGCTGTGTGGCCGTGTTCTGGAAGTTTTGTTTCCTA